ATGATGCATCAAATGGATCAGATACTATTATGAAAACTATAGACCACTTTCATGAATGGCTGCCGGATTAATATTCTTTTGTTTAAATTTAAATTAGCCCTTCTGACCTCGTTCCCCAGTACAAAATTCAAAAGAAGACATCTCAAGCGAGGCCATAAGGGCTAATTTAAATTTAAACAAGAGAATATTAATCCGGCAGCCATTTATGAAAGTGATCTATACTTAAAACCTAAACCTAACTAAAACTGCTTTTCACGAATGCCGTGCCGCAACGTACTTCTTTAATTAAACGCTTAAATAACCCAAGGGACTCTGCTTGTCTTATATCACTGTTCCAAAGGGTGGCGCCACTGTAGCTAAAGCTATTCTTATAATAGTTTGTGCGCGGCGATGGAACATTAAGCTTATTCTCAGAGTCCCTTAGGTTATACGCAGTTACTTGCCTTTCAATTTTAGAACGTAAATAGTCTGGAGCTAAGCCGTGCAGAGACTTATAGACCATTGTGGCTCTTTGTATACCGTTGAATAAAAATATAGAAAAAGTAAATTTGTCTGGTACAATTTTTAAATAAGCGCTGCACTTGTGGCGCGCAAAATTAAATAAGCTCCGCGGCGCTTATTCGAGTAAATACGGTAGTCGCTTCTTGCTATGGAAACCGGGAAAAGTTACAACTGGATGGGCCACCTGGATCGACTACCGTAAACCGTCTTACTACCGCGCTCTCACCTCACCTTGATCTTGCCTCTTCTTCTTAGGAATGCCACCAGCTAAACCTTCTCGACCTAAAAGCGTGTTGGAGAATGTCCTTACCTCGTACACTACCGAGAAAGATTTTAAGAAGAACAAGGAGAAACTTGTGAGGGATCTCTTTGAATTGTACAACCAAACAGTCTTTGACAATCAAGTAAGAACTGATACCATATTATCATAATATGATAGAGGAAAATAAAGATTTTTCTTGTCTGTTTGGAGTCATAGTGTATTTGAAGTGAGTGACTGGTTTGTAATTCACAAGACATGCCATTCTCGAGAGAGAGTCATTATTACTATTAGTAAACAACTGCTATTGGTATAGGTATGGTTCCCTGCTAGTCGCTAAAACGAAAATTGCGGTAATAAATTACTACTTTTTACTTTCAAGAACAGGAACCCTTATTTTTGCTCATAAACTTGTTTCTGTTCAATTACTCAAACAAAGAAAATTTTAAAAAAACCTTCAGTTTTCCACGGTGAAACTTTGAAGTGTGAGGTAGGGATATTCTGTTAAATCCTTTTGTAGAATTTTTATTGTTCACGTTGAGGTTTATTAATATCACATACGTCCAGCCATGACTATTTTGAACTGTTTATCGTCAGCTGCCGTCAGATTTCCAGATAACATGGAATCCGAGAATGCGGAGCACCGCTGGCTTCTGTTATTACAGCAGGTAGCTTTTCAAATTTTTTTTTTTTCCGGCGAGAGTGACTTCTGTAACATACCGCACCTTTTGAGTCAATATCAAAACCTTGGTGAGTTTTGCAGAAGGTCTCATATTTGATATACATTTTATGAGCTCCTGCTGCTTAGTTTGTGAAAATGTTTGGGCAGAATTCCACTGTTATATTGAGCAATCGTGATACTTAGACAACTGCATGCTTAATGCACAATTTTCAGTTGATTGTCGATAGAAATCGGTGTAAGACTTGCCTCACTTATTCATCCAATCAAGTTCAAAATTATAACCAATAGTGACTTCGGTCATTCGCGTTTTCCCGCGCTTTAGCCAGTTTGTCCTTTTTTTACCTTAAGCTGTTATTGGCACCTTTGACATTTGTATTTGTTTCAACCAGCCGTTGTCACTGCTGCGCCTTTGGTTTCAACGACACTCTGTCGTAGTTTTCGTGAAATTGTGCCCATGCGACTATTACATTTTTTTTTTTCTAGGAAAAGTAGTCTTCGTGTGGCCAGGATAGAATTGGCAGACAAAGTTATTGATTCCGCAGGTAAGTTAGGTTGATTTGTACCACAATGTTTCCGTTGTCCTCGTATTGTGGGGTAAAAGAGAGCGTTTTACTCAATTTGACCCGCGGGCCAGTTGAGAAAAGTTTTCATGTCAAAAGCAATCCGAGATGGTAATGGTTTTGTTTTACGTCGCTCTTTGATTGGTCCTTAAAACTCGCGCCACAATGTCAGCCGATCTAAGACCAGGCGGGTGTTGGTCATTCGCTTTTCCCGCGCTTTAGGAAGTTTCCCAGTGTTCACTTTCAATTTTCCTTGGTTTCTTGCAACATTTTTCTTCTCTCTGATTGGCCATAGTAATAAAAAAGATAGAAATTGTGCAGAAAGTAATCGAGCACCAGTCGCATTATTTGTCTGACCACTGGTTTGTCATCGTAAGCTGTTATTTGTACGCCCTCTTTAAATAAAGCTGACTTACTTTCGTACTTAAGTCGTTCTGTCACTTTTTAAATAACCACTTTTGTAACTTGCAGATCGCTTGCGTGACACATTAATACACGAGATGTGTCACGCTGCTGCCTGGTTAATTAGCGGAGTCAAAGCTGGTCACGGACCCGTTTGGAAAAAATGGTAAGAAAGCTCTCTATGAAATTACAACCCTATTTTATTCAATTTAACTTTTTACAAATGTAGTAACTGCAGCCTGAACTCTATTTTACAGTACTGTCTCTTTGTCTTTGCTTCTTCTCTAGGACATTGCGTGCAAATCATGTTCATCAAGACTTGCCCCCGATCTCGCGGTGCCACAGCTACACCATCAATGCTAAATATACGTACAGGTGTACCAACTGTGGGAACACGTGAGTATCTTTATGAAGTGTGCTTACACTTCCGGATATCTTCAGTGGTGGATCGTTACCGCTGATCATTATGCTCGTTTTTCCGCCCGCGGGAAGGTTTGAGACGAGTAGGGAAGAGGTTTCACGCTAGACCTCTTGCAGACCCCTGTCCGGTTCGCGTTACTCAAGGCGTCCTACTTTCTCGCAGGCAAAAAAAACGTTCGTGTCCAAGCTCTAATAATAATGGCCTGGGTGCTAGTCAGTCGTTTAACATTGGGGCTGGGAAAGGGTTCTATCAAAGACACGAGTAACAGGGTTCATACTGGAAAACCTGAAAAGTCCTGGATATCTGCTCAACTCAAGCAGTAAAGTTTTCAGAATTTACGTTATGAGAAATCTAAGTAGCATGTAGGTGAAATTTGGTTTACTGAAAAAAATCAATCTAAGTCTGGAAAAGAGTCCGGGAAAAGTACTTGGAATTTTTTTCTGAGAAAGAGTACAAACACTGGACTAATTATATGCTGGTGATCTTCATCTGGCCGTTTTTATCCATTATTAGGTTCGGACGTCATTCTAAGTCAGTAAATTTGGAGAAAAGTCGATGTGCTTATTGTCACAGGTAAATTGTTGACTTTTTTTAGTGTGTTAGTTGTAGCGTGTCGTTGTCCTAGAGAGAAATGTCCGGGGTAGTTTACCGCCTAAAAAAATCTCACACATTTTGATCGAGTCTTGTTTTTCTTTCGAACAGAATTACCTTAAACTTGAAAGATACTGATAAAGTGATAAAATTAGGAGAAGAGCATGAAGGCGATTGCAAAGTTAGAGGGATTAAGGATCAGGCTAGGAATGGAGATTATTAATATTAATATTAAAACCAATTGTGAATGACGACCTTGACAAATTTTGAGGCGAAGGTGATTGGTTTTATCATCTGAGTTGATTGGTTTTATCAACTGAGTTGATAAATGTAAATAGGCCATCCTAAAGAGTCTCTACTGCAGACATTTCAAACGTTAGCCTCTTGTCGGAGCAAAGGAAGCTTGGGAACTCTTTGATGAAGGGCTAACGTTTGAAACATCAGCTTTAGGAAGTCTTTGCGGTATCCAATATACGTTATCAACTCCTTTGGTAAAACAAAATTATCTTATAAGTCTAGGTAAAGTTGAAAACAAAAACTTAGAGCACAGCCTTTGCTCGATCTCAACTTTCAATGTGCCCTTTCTATCACATGACCAAGTCACGTGTAACGAACGCACCGGTAACATTTCTCAATGGTTACCCGAGCCATACATTTTATTCTTGACCAGTGGTTTCTGTAATACTGAGAAATGAATTACACTAAATCTAACTACCGACTAAATCAAACTACACGAAATAAACTCGGCGAAATGAAAGCTTAAAACATACCTGACGGTTTGGATCTAAAGAGACACAAGACGAAGCATTACAAACCTACAACTACTTAACATTAATGAAACTTATATAAGAACGATCCTTCGCAGTAAAGCACTATTTGAGCAATAGTGGAAATCAGACCAGACCAGAGATCAGAACCTGAAATTTTTTTCAGGTCTGATTTTCACTATTGCTCAAATAGTGCTTTACTGCGAAGGATCGTTCTTATATACGTCTCATAACCGCAGTTCACTCATATGTTTCATATGTTTGTTGTTGTTCGATTTATCATCTACGGGTTTATATCGAATTAATTTGATGGCCTGCTCCCAGTTGGCTTGTTAGCTCAATTGGTAGAGCGCTGCACTAGTATCGCAGAGGTCAGTGGTTCGAATCCCGTACAGGCCTGAAATTTTTTTCAGGTCTGATTTCCACTATTGCTCAAATAGTGCTTTACTGCGAAGGATCGTTCTTATATACGTCTCATAACCGCAGTTCACTCATATGTTTCATATGTTTGTTATTAATGAAACTATTCGCGCGAAAACTAAAATATATACTGACGCGAGGGGACTGAACCCTACTATGTGGATGCACCGCTGGCCCTCAAAATTTGTTGTAACATAATGGTTGTGAAGGAGATTACCTTGTAATTGTTCTAATAACCTATTAGTTCAGAGCGAATGACGAAGGGCTTACTGTTGAGGTGTGAGCTTACTGTCATCAATATACATTATCAACTCAGTTGATAAAACCAAATTATAATATATATTTTCTCAACTTTAGAACTTTCCTCAAGGTCGGAAATTGTTTAAGTTTCTTTCTGTCACCATGTCTTTTATTACAGCCGCCTGGAGCTTGTTCCACAGTTGAAGAAGGATGGCACTCCACAAATTCGCACTCCCAGTCGATTTGCCTTGTTCGTCAAAGAAAACTACGCTCGTATCAAAGGCGACCATGAAACATTTTCTCACCAGGATGTCATGAAAGCGTTAAGCTCGGAGTTCTCCGAACTAAGTACAAAATAGCGAGCTGACATTAAAAAAAACATGTCAATTACTTACAGAGTATGAAAAATTTTACTGTGGCTAGGTATCCTCTGATACATTTCGTAAACCTGTGGCCTATCGCTTGTTAATCATTGAGCCTGCGATATGTAAAAAGCGGTTATATCATGCTCGTTTTTAGTTGAAGATTGTCTGGGAATAAGACTTCTCTAGGACATCATACCATCAAGGCTCAGCGCGAACGTGTCCCGATTGTCCACCCTTGTATTATAAGGGTTCTCGTAGAACTTCGCAGATTTTCATCAAGCGACGAGGCAAACTGTTTGTGCGAATGAAAAACCTGATAATAGGTTTCATAGCGTTTGAGGTGGTTTATTTTACGCGCCATCGGAATGTTTGGTCCATGGCGTATTTTAGCATCTAAGACGCTTACACTACCTTGCGCGGATTCAAATTGCCTTCAGTAGCGCAACCTAAAAATGTTTCAATAGTTTTCCGCGAGAATAGATTTAAAGCCCTTAGTTCGCTTTGTTAACGATTTTCATCCGCTTGCAACTATACATCAAAAGTCAACAAAAGCAAGCCTTGAAGATTATTTTATTTCACTAAAGCTGTCAATACCTCTGGAACTACTTTAAAAATTTACTCAGTGCACGTATGAAATACTGTATCATCCCTAATTGTGGACACGTTTTGAACGCAACGTCAGTCTTGTTGTGTTTTGAATAAAGTTGCGTTCAATAAGGTCATTTTTGTCAAGTGTCTTATATTTCTTTATTCGATAATTCTTCGCGTTTTTTAAACATATTGTTTAGTTATATTATGTGCGATTCAATTCGTAGCTTTGATCCCTGAATACAAATGAATAAAGGCTGATAGTTTCGAAAGAAACTGTTTGGGGCTGCGTCGGTGGGAGTAACGAAATAATTTGGATATATCAACAAAGTTGAAATGGTAAATTGGCCACCGTAACGATTACAAAAGCTGACGTTTCGAGCGTTAGCCCTTCGTCGGAGCGAAAGACGAAGGGCTAACGCTCGAAACGTCAGCTTTTGTAATCGTTACGGTGGCCAATTTACCATTTCAACTTTGTTGATATATCCAAATTATTTGATCCCTAAAGCCTCGAGAGACGGAAAGATCCAATGAGAGAGACTGTTTCCGTGGTATCCTCTAGAATAAGAAGAAGAGCTTGGAGACAAGCTGATAAAACAGATGAATTCGCCCTACATCTCGAAGATTTTCGGATACTTTTGAATGTTATTGGTATGTAGAGTAGTTAAAAATATCACAATAATTTAGGTGTTTTGTATCTTATAAATGCAAGCAGACGAGAATGTGTTACTGAAAAAAAAAAAAAAAACTTGGGACAATTGTTCTGAAAACGAGTTTAGGCAGCAAAACGACCTCAAATTACCAGCCTCTCGCTCCAGGCCCTGGCGACGTACTGCGTCCGAAAGTGATTGATTGCCTCGTCCTCTTCAGCGCCAAAGCTTTGCGCTCCAAGAATGATCTTGGACTGGAATGCTGGGCTGCTTGCTGTAAAGGTCTCCCACACTTGAAAACCTCTCTCGCCTATAGCCTGCAGCTCGCCGCGGAGTTGGCACAACAGTTCTGAGCGAATCTCCTCAAACTTTGAGCAGGACAGCAGGAAATGTTCCACAGTTATGTTTTCGTCTCCGTCACAGTGGTAACATTTCGGGCTTCCTTCTCTTTCCTGTCGGCGAATCGTTCCCTTGTAGTTCTTGGCGTCTGGCGGCGAACTGAAAGAATGCGGATACCGTGAATGAATAAGAGATAAGTGCAGTAAAATACTATATTTACTACAAACGGATAATTAACAATTATTCCACGAGTGCGCGTTGAATATGAGATGATAGATAGCCAACGAGGCGCGTAGCGCCGAGTTGGTTATAATCATCTCATATCCAACAAGCGCGAGTGGAATAATTATTTTATTAAAAACTCCTCCGAGAAATTATTATTTTGTAAGAAAAAAACGGATTTTTAGCTCCCTTTTGATTTTAAGCTGACGCGTACGCTTGCCATATTTGTAGATTATGGTATACAATGGATATATGAAGTTCATATATTTTGAACTGCGGTATTAAATACGTATGATGCGCGATCCTTCGCAGTAGATAGCGCTATTTATGCAATAGCGAAAATCAGACCTGAAAAAAATCAGGCCTGTACGGGATTCGAACCACTGACCTCTGAGATACTAGTGCAGCGCTCTACCAATTGAGCTAACAAGCCAACTGGGAGCAGGCCGTTAAGTTGATTCGTAATAAACCCGTGATGATTTATCATCACGGGTTTATTACGTAATAAAGCCGTGATTTATCTATCTACTGCGAAGGATCGTGCATCATACGTATTTAGTACCGCAGTTCAAAATATATGAACTTCATATATCCATTGTATCGGATTTATCATCACGGGTTTATTACGAATCAACTTAACGGCCTGCTCCCAGTTGGCTTGTTAGCTCAATTGGTAGAGCGCTGCACTAGTATCGCAGAGGTCAGTGGTTCGAGTCCCGTACAGGCCTGATTTTTTTCAGGTCTGATTTTCGCTATTGCATAAATAGCGCTATCTACTGCGAAGGATCGTGCATCATACAGATTATGGTATATTGGCTCATACACCATAATGGCTAAGCCAATAAAAAGCCTTGAATTGCATTATCCAATGATCCAGTTTTTAATAAATTGGTCTTAGTTTATACTAAAACATTGGATAACGTTGAAGGCACGCTCTGATTGGCTTCTTAAACTCCGAGTATCCTTCGTTGTTCACATTCGAACAACGCGCGCGGAATTTGCGCCCGTTGCAGGAATAAGTGAGTTAAAATCATCTTTTTTTGGGGTCTATTATCTCACTATTGAAGCATATACTAAAACAACCATTCGCCTCAGTTCGGTGGCAAGCGGTGAATATTTACCGAAAATATCTGCCCATGATATCGTAAGGTCTAAGCTTGAATCCAGTTTCACAAATCTTCAAGGAATTGTCGTTCATTAAACCGTGATTCAATCATATTTGTACTTGACGTCTCGCGCTATCAATTTTCAGTTATGAGTTCACAACGGACCAACTGACGAATTCACAGAATTGCCTATCACACCATAACTTGACCCATTTCAGCTCAAAAGGCCAGAATTAACAAAAACTCTTGACAAACGCGCTAAAATCTTAATTAATTATGTCGGATTTATCAAATCATTAGGGACCTTAAGAAACCACGACGGCGACGGCAAAGAGGACGTGGAAAACCAAGAGATCTAATTGGCAGAACAATAGCTCAGCACGTGCGTTTTGAAACTTTGTACATTTCTTAGCCGTCCTATGCAAAACAACAACGTGAAATCGCCAAAATTTGCGTCTCTGCGAACCGAAACCGCGACGGCAAATTATTTTAATTTCCATCTGGAACTCAACGGCTACTTCATACGTCATGCTGAAGTTGAGCTGTGGTACTGTATGAGACAGTAAGCTCCTACAGCCATTTTTGAAATTCTAACTAAGAGTAGAAATTCGTTTTTTAATCGAAGTCTTTCTTGGCGTCGCCGTTGTGGTTTCTTAAGGTCCCTATTGACACATGAGAACGGGTAATTGCAAAGATAAATTGATTTCACCTTAATACTGTTTCTTTTATTTGACACAGAACGTCAGGGTATTTCAAATTGCATTTTCTGAGTTGAGCGAAGGCCAGATAAAGGCAGCCCCTCCTTTCTGGCGAATTCTGTCGTGCTATTCAAGAAAAATCAATGAAAAAAATTTGATGCCAGTGTGCCGCGCGGATCCTAAGTGCGCCTCACAACCAGAGTTCAGCGTGGCGCGCTAATTTTTTTATTTTTGGCGCTTTTTTCCCTTTTTTTTATGCTGATTTCTTTTTTGACTTTGTCGAAAGAACGGAGGGACCGATCGTAGTCTAAACGGAAGCGTCCGTGTTACAGTTAGATAAATAGCTGCTAATTTGAAATTGAACGCGAACCTGCTCAAATCTTAGAGCAAATTTTTTTTTTAAAAACAGAATCACAAAATACGGGCCAATGATTCACAGCGAAAGTCACACGAAGTGTCACTGCAAATTGATGGCCGGCGTAGAAAAATTTCATTGTAAACAAATGGTCTACTTGTCAATAAGTTTACATTCAGCCAAAAATCTTAATGTTTTTTAGACCGACTTAGACAATATACCAGCGGGCAATTTAAATATTTCTGAGAAAGATCTGAAAACTGCTTCGCAACAGTTTCAAAAGGACTCCTAGAGTAAGATGGTGAAAACCTCGCGGTTCAAATAACACTTTACGGATTTGGCTACATCAACGTTTCTGCATATCGATCGCGAAACACGGCGTTAAAAAGTGCTGACAGTTTTTTGTTTCATTCAACAGAACAAATGTTCAACGATTTCCATATTATCGGATGGGCGGATACCAAACATGCCGTGAACAAATCGTCGAAAGCTAAAATGGTTTTCGACTACTGAAAACACAGAGCAGCCAGATTACTGAATCGTGTAAGTCCACGACATGTCTAAGAATAAAAAAAGCTTTTTCAAGTCTGAAAAAATGAATTTACCTCAGATTGTGCGCAATCTGCTTGTTTTCACGAACATTTTCACTTGATATGCTCACAAGGCTTCGGAATTTCATCCTCTCCGATGTATCTCAAGTTTCAAATGAATGCAACGCCGGCAATAGCCCTTGCTTGAGTTTATTCGTTTCAGTTAATTCAACTGTGTTTTGTTCTTTTATGGTCATGACTTTAGCGAATGCAGTTTGTTCATGCGTTCGTTATTCAGTGAACCGATGGAATAGCTTTCGGTGACGGAATGAGAACGATGCGCTATTTTCCAACGCTTTGCGAATTTTAAAGAGCCTCAAGCCAAAATCGGCCCTTGAAAGGAAAGCAAATGACAAAATTTAAAATTCTTTTGATGTTTTGAGGCATCCACAACATTTAATAATAGCTGGATATATGATAATGTTTTTATTTGAGGCAGGTGTTGCGGTAAAAGTGTGAAAGAAAACTTAGAACAGGCGGAACCTGTTGCTTTGTATTGCCGGAAAGCATGGTCTATACTTATTGTGCTCCGTTGGAAAAAGGCATCCTTTTAATTACGGGAACATCAAACATGAAAGACTGTCCGTTGTAACAAAGAAGTAGGTCGGTATCAAGGAGGGTTTTTGGCGGCAGTTCTAACTTAAAAGAGCGAATTATAAGTTTATACCCGTGAAAGACGGAAAAATTAATTCTATCAAATCAATACACAAAGCATTTTCATTGTTTCAGTTATAATTTAAGTTGTTGATTTAATGGAAACAATTTCTGCAGGTGCTCAGAAATTAAAGAAAGGCCTTCCTTCAAACAAGATGGGTCATTTTACTTGCAAATATGTTGGCCACTAAAAAAAGAAAATAACAGTTGTTTCTCAGAGTGCATTGTGCAAAAACCAAATGATCACTTAGCAGAAACTGATCAGTTTTGTTGTAAACCGAAAAAGGGAAGAAAGTAGCATTTCTTGTGAAAGCTTATTTCTTTTAACAGTGCTTTGTTTTGTCAATTTCCATCGACTGATTTTAATTTAAGAACTTATTACAACTTGAAGTTTCTAAGACTCAAACTAGCTCTAAATCGAAAGGAAATTTGCGGGGCAAAATTCGACATGAATGGGAATGGCGAGAATTTGATCCGCGGCCTTAGAACACTCTTCACTGGCAAAGGAAAATGCAATTTTTCCGAGAAAACGTTCTTTCTTCTTGGAGATTTACGAACAAAAGGAAATACCCTAAGAGATGGTCCTTCTGTCTTGTTTTTATCCGAGGCATAATAAAGTTTTTGTTTCATTTGTTTGGAATTCCTATTTGTTTCGATTCATTGGACCGCCATGTTTGTTAATGCAAGTTGTAGAACCCAGTCACTAAGTCAACTCTCAGATGAAGGGACACGGTATTTTGGTTCGTGTGCGCGCGTCTCCTAGACTATTCTGCGCGCTCTCCCGTTGTGAAATGACGTTCCCATCCTCTTGCTAAATCCATCTATTGACTGAGAATGTTGACAGGAATTTTCTAGGATACCTCTTGAATAACCGCCGGTATCGTTTTTTGGGGGTGGAAGGAAACCAGTCCACATTGATAAAAGTTAAAGAGTTGTAGTAAAGAACCAAATCGCTGACAACGTTTTTTGAGGATAATCTGTGTAAAACAGCATTTCCGATTGCGCTCTGCTGATTCAAGCGCGGATGCGCACCAGTTTTAAAAAAGCAACCCAGTGACTCTGGGTATTCCTTTAATTTTATATCACTGCGACTTGAACCTTTAAAAAGGCGATTTTGTTGTCAATCTACTCACCATCATGCCTGTTTTCGGATTACAAGTAACATTTTTTTAGAAAAAACTATTTACGTCCTAATATCGGTGTGCATTCTCTCCACACTCGATCAGTGTTCCCCATATCTTTCCTAAAGAACTGACAAGAAGAAATGGTAAGTAAAAGATTACCGTGTTCGCATACACGTGTGCTAGACTCCGAGTGCAAAGGTAATATCCATCCCCAAAACATGAACCAACGTGAGGATCTTTAAAAATAATGTTTGTTTTCCCAGAATCACATATCGACGATACTTTAGACAGATGTTCTTTTTTTACATTCTCAATCCTGTTTGTTCTACAGTCACGATTTGCTTACTGTTTTTGACGGTACATTTACAAAGAGCAAACTTTGCTAACTGTTTGCTAACAAGTATAGTCCAAATGATTTGAAAACTCAAAAGCGGCCTGACTCTCTTTTGTTGAAAGCCATTTAAATTCTCGCCCATTTTTGTCATATTTACTAATTCGACTGCTGCGTTATCTTCGTAGGGCCACCGGCGCCAAATCACTATTCAGCTGTTCTCCTTTGATCTATTTAACGAAACCCTCGTTCGGCCAGGCCAGGTTAAATATGCGACAGAGTGGCGTACGACGGGGAAACTACAGCTGTAATACGCACGTGCTCTAGTTGTAGCGTGCGCACTCATTTTCTGTTCGAGTTATATCGTCTAGGGCGGGCGAGACAAGGTGTTTACATGCGAAAAAGTTGACCCCCTACCAGGGTTACTCTACCTGTTGAGGTGAGATAACTTGTCCCCCGAGTCGTGTGTATGTTCCTGAACAAGATCACTGAACCATGATTTTGTAACTCATCAGTCACTACCTAGCTTGAAAGTTAAGCTCTCGACCACTTTGGAGAGCTGCTCATGTGACCAACAAGCCGCTTACCTGGGAGTCATATGGGACTTTTCTCTTTGAATTTAGTTGAACAAAACAGCGTGCTCTGCAAGGTGAGTTATCAACGAGCATACTCAGGCCTTCATTCAAGGTTGCCGCTGTGGCGAAAGCATCTCTTCGCCTGCGAGAGCAGTTTATATTTGAGGTCTCGAGACGATTAAATTCTACTATGTTCACTCCCGTGATCTCGTTAGTAATATTCCATACTGTCTGCTATACAATTTTATGACGCTGGTTTCAAGAATTTGGTATTAGATCAACTGATAATCTACCGAAATAAAGTTTTTCCTAATTCTCATCACTTGTCCACTTGGATGATATTGTATTGGTATTGTAACGAGAAATTCTGTCTTGGTCACTCGTGGGTATGACCGAAGAAAGAAATAATAATAATTTTTCATAATTATCACTGCTAATCGCCGTCGCAAAGCACAGCAACGACGCAGCTCAACAAGGTCGAACCGAAAGCTTACAATTGTGTCTCTGGCAGCCGCTATACGGTCCATGTGTGATCTTGGAGCACAGCGTACAGCCAGCTGGAATCAGCTAAAAGTTGGGTCTTGGTGAGGGAGGAAAACCCGAGAACCCGGAGAAAAACCGGAGAACCCGGAGAAAAACCCTCAACCCACTTATGGCGTCGGGTCCGGGAATCGAACATTGGTGGAATGCGAGTGCTCTCACCACTACGCCATCCCTGCTTCTCTGGTGGTTTGTAAGACGGTGAGAGTCTAAAGTTCGAACTTTTGAAATTTGAGTCAAAATGAATACGTGACCTGCATTTAAACCAGTCACTCATGGAGTAATGACAGATGACCTAAGGTGGAGGAGTTTCTTTATAGGACGACGTGGAGGGAGCTATTTTTAAACTCAGTTAAAAAAAATTCTGGCCGACAGAATCTGTTTTATTATTATTACTAATTTGGGCTACACAGCTAGCCATCAAATTAAAACAAGGACAGGGTATTTTCTCTCTAAGCCATTCACAGGCTAGCCTTCTTTATTTTCAACGAAACCCAACACAAAATATTCGATGAAAAGTTTCCGTTCGTTTTAACCACTTCCTAAAATTATGACCAATTTTGGCTACATCGTGCTGCCTGCCTGCCTGCCCTACTGATTCGTTTCCTAAGGCAAAGGAAGCAGCAAAACATTGGAATTGTTTAGAAGAGGATCATCTTGCGACACAAATAACCAAAATTTAGGATTTCCACAGTCCTTGAAGCTGAGCCTGTACGTCTTAGTTTTAAACTGTGTCGCTAGTTCGGGGCTGGGTGTATCCATTATTTTTAGAAAAAGCAAAACAGAAATTTTCTCAATACTTGAAAAAGGACCAGCGAAATTCCTAAGCAATACCGAATATGGAGTGCCACAGCTAGACCGTCGTAAAATAACACTGAACTGCTGAAAGCAGGCGAGGAAGTCTAGTCTACAACGGAATGAAAGCAAAAACCACCATAAAGGCAGGAAATGCCGCAATATACAACATGCTGAAATTATTTGGCTAAGAACCAAATCGTTTTCAAGTTTTAGTACCTTGGTTGTTTATCATATGAGCTGCGGGAGGCAAAAATAGATGTCTCGGAGGTCCAAGTTAACTTTTGTTTTTCTTTCATTGTTTCCTTACATCGATGCTCTGTTTACGTGCATTTCCCTATTGACAATAAAGTAAGGCCTCGAGAGGCTGAATAAGTTTTTTTTACCAATACAGCTTCGATCATTCTTGCGCCTCAAGATTGGAAAAGAAACGGGTGAAAAAATGAAGAAAAAAAGGAAAGTCAGTGGTCATTCTGTGTGTGCATAAACAATTTATAACCGTTTTTATTTTTGGTTGTTTAGCCTGGTAAGCCAAACATATCATCAGTATCAGTTTTTTGCGAAGAAAAATTTTACTAGGTAACCACATGTCAGTGGGTATAGATAAACTGAAAGCAAAATATTCACTAGTAAACAAAAAATACGTGGTGTATTGTACAGACATTCAATACAGCCAATACAAATATCAACATAGCCTTCAATCTCATACGAATGAAAAATGTGGGAAGCGTAATGAAATATGCAGTATAACTGGCGGCTAGGTGACGATCAGAAGATTTATTTTATAGCAGTTCAGTCTAGACATTGATGTGAAGGGATCACCACATCTTGAAGGAAGCAGAAAGTTATCAGTCCATTTCCAACAAGATCATGATCACTCGAGAAACCTCCTTAAAGTACTCCGGAATACCAGCAGTTTATCGCTTTTGAACAGCATTCCTTACTTAAGAGGCCCTCGAGTTGAACGTACCAAAAAAATAGTAGTAATAAATGATATAGGTTCAATGATAGTTGAGTTGATTTTATTGGACGAGATCGACCGCTAAAGCTGGGCCAGTTTTCGACTGAGCGCGGTTCGTAAACTCAATACATTAAATCCTTCCCAGGTGTAAACACTACGCTCAGGAAATGGTAATAAAAGAGGAATTTAAAGAGGCGAATTTTTGGCTCGTGTACAGTTTTGAAAACGGATGTCAAGCGTGGTAGAAGTCGCAGCCGAGTGTTTCCAGTTAAACATTCTGGTGAGTCTGGAGTCGTCAGCCAAGATTTTTGGTCGACATCCAAGTTCCATTTCATAACAGCTGAGAAATACGTCGAGATCTGCAATAAAACAAACAGTTATACACAAGTTACAAGATGTGTTGTTTAGGTTTGCCACAGGAAAACATTGTTGTTAATAACCTGCCGGCTTTCGAAGCTTTTCTTAACCGCGGATGGTTCCCATCTGTAGCGATGATTTTTTTCTTTTTCTGAATTAACTCTTTATCTATGGTGTAAATTTTGTTTATAGTGTAAATAAAATTCAAACAACATTTTGGAACAACAAGACCAGTTCTACTTTTAATGAAAACCGGTAAGGAAAGAAAGTTTAAACATTGATTTTAAAAGAAGGTGATAGTGCTTTTTAACCTGCTTTTCCTACCTGACTGCTGGGAAAAGGATTTTGGTTTCATTCTTTTCAGCTTAAACTAAGGAGGCATCTAACTTGCGTTTCGGCAGTCAGAAATACGAATTATAAGACGGCATTGCATTTGTTAGACTTGAAATAGACAATAGCTGAGCACAGTCCAATCCTCTCGCCATCTGCTGTCCTGCAGTCGATTCTCACTGAAACGTGCTCAAAAATAAATAAGGTATAAGAGTGGTAATTATCATGCGATGTATTTTTAACATAACAAGAAGCTACCATTAATAACATGTATTGGACATTGTTTAAAAATCTAGTTAAATAATCCTTTCCGAAATTTAAGGGTGTTTCTTAAAATTCGACACCTTTGACGCTCGTGGGAGTTATCCTAATTCAGGTAGAGGGTTCCTGTCCTAATTCCATTTTTATCGCGAGATGTATGAGCTTTCATTTATTTCACTTTTTGGTAGTGATTTGCCTGCGCTCCCGTTGTTTATCTCAATATTATCCGCGGGTTCGATAGTTTCACTGTTTCTCGATGAAATCAAAATAATTACGATAAGTTAAGCAGATTTTGGTTCATTTTGAGCGTGAGATTTTCTTCTTATGGCGCAGGTATTGATGATAATATACTACGTATGGTTCATAATAGTTTTAATAACGTAATCAGCTCTCAAGATTTTTAGAAGCATAAGGTTAGGGGTTACAGCTGCATAATGTACTGGTTCGTTGGTTATTGTTGTCAGAAGATAAAGGAAAACCATTTGGAAGAATGATAGGATAAATTTACATCTCACACCCGCTGTGGACCAATCGCTTTTCTATTTGGCATGTCGGCCAGAGATGGTTATCTTGATAATGACATTCATTTCGCAATATTTTTAATTGGGTTAATTCACCCGTGACCAGTGACTTTAGACCGAAACTGCTTGTAAGCTGTATTTGGCCTTGAATTGCAACATCGTCATCTTTTGTCTTCCTTTATACCCCTCCGAAGTTTATCCTTTGGTTTGTCCGAGTTTTAAAATCCTTTTGAGAGGCGAAACAAAAACGTTGATACGTGCGTGTTTTGTGCGTGCAACCCGGGCGCTTTGTGAAAAAGCTACAAACGAAAAACCCACCGAAAGACTGAATCTTCAAGCGCCTCGTGTGTGGGTTCAAATATGCGTGTCTTGCGGATATAGAAATGATGAATTATTCAAGAAGTGTCGTCAAAATTGCTTCCCTTTCCTCTCAGTGTTCTTAGAGACATCGGGGGTTTTTCGCGGATTTTTTTTAGGCGACTCTACAACTTGGGAATTAAATGTGAGATCAAAAGCTGTAAAGAAGAAAGAGAACAATAAAACAATAAGTCGAACATGGCATACTTTATAGAGATTTGATATCAGGTTTTCATCTGTTTACTAAGACGTCACAGATGAATAATACGGCTTGTCAAAAACAACCTTGATCACGTCCTAAAACAAAGAGCCCAATTGTACCTTCAGCCGGATAATTTGTCACGAAACTGCGAAAAAAATAAATCCTGCCTAAATTGACAAATGATGAAATCATCAGGAGGAGAATCATGTTGTTTCAGTGTCGATCGAATGAGTTCCCTTTTAGATGAAGCGAAACCGAAAGACAACAAAAGGCTATTCACATTTCGACCTCTTGCCTAGCAACGCCACTCAAAGCCTTTGTAACATTCTGGATTGTGATTGGTCACACTTGTGACGTCAAAGGGTTTTTTACCAGACGCAAAGCGTATTATTTCCGCAAAATTTTTCGATGCGAAGAAAATCTGAAAGAAGGTCCGGTGGAAGGCGATCTTGAAGGCGAAAATAAACGTCGTTTAAGAGGGCTGGTAGCTTTCCAGGAAAGTGTTGCGACGGAGTTACCAAGAAAGAAACTGTCTGTTGGAAGAACGCGTTTTTTTTTGGAACAATACTATCGACGGCAAACGAAAACTGTGCGCGTTGAAGGGTAAACATTCTCTTCGACGTAAACCATGAAGACCGAAATCGAAATGGCTTGTAGATTCTTGACGAAAATCTTGAGAGGGAGTGCAAAGCTCTCAGAGAAGCAGATCGAGGCTTTTCACAAGAAAACGAAGGAGATTTTGTGTGCGAGATACAAGCACCACTGGCATCCGCAGAATCCTTTGTTAGGAAGTGGATTTCGTTGTATTAGAATCAACCATTCCTTGGATCCTGTTCTTGCTGAAGCAGCCCAAGCTTGTGGTCTTGTCAACAACGATCTTGCTCTCCCCGATGAGCTAACGCTTTGGATCGACCCTAAATCAGTGGCGTTTCGAATTGGGGAAAACGGATCCATTTGTGATCTGGATGAATCAATGATTTCGCAAGAAAACAACACAAGCAAGCCTTCGCCAAAAGAAGCGCTGAATTCAAGGAACCAGGAGAGAAGACCAGCCAAGAGAAATAGCATGAATATCCTAAATTGCACTAAGGATGTGGTTAGTTTCCCAGTGTCTTCTTGCATTCCATGTTAGCATTAAAAAACAGAGAGATTTTAGAGTTAAAAATGTTTGTGTGCACATATAAAATTTTCTGGTATACAAAGATATGTAAATTTCACGTTCGATCGAAATTATCCTTTGTAAGTTGTGTTGGTGTATAAAGAACACTCGAATTTGTTAATTTCTCTTTGGCTGGGAATTTTGTAAGATAACAACCTGTATTTTTAACTGTATAGAATTTTGTATAAAAGTCTGTACAGTTTGCTGTTCACAGCAATAATAAATTGAATAACATTGAAGCATATTTAAGGCGGTTTACTTGTTATTGTGGTAATTCTTTCGCAGTGTATATTTGCTCTTGGAAAATTACCAATATGCAATATAGTGGGCATATTTATCAACATCTCGCTTATCTGAGGCAATGAGAAGTTAAAAACGAAAAGGCTTTTGGCGGACTTGTGGACGTTTATTTAGAATATGTCTTAGTTGAATTATTCAGTATCCCGATGAAAGGCAAGTCACCTGATTTCACCATGTGTTTGACAAAGCGATATAAATGGACCACATTGTTTTGTTCGGTGAAATTTGTGGGATCTCATAGAAACCAGGAAGCCTTACGAATCACAACGCTTTTGATTAGGTTAAGCACTTTTAACATTAGCATTACTCATTGCTGTTCATTCTCCGTACTAGCTTGATTTCGAATCATGTGAGATAACACGTAATGCATTGAACCTAAAACCCTTCAGTGATGCGTGGCAAAACACACCATCTAATGGGCTCTGATCGAATATTTATTCCACTTTAGATCCTCCGAAACGTTCGCTCGCGTTGAAAATTTGCGAAGCGCACAAAGAATTCGAGCATCTCAGTGGAAGCCCCTTAGTCATCTGTTACTGCTCTTGGTCTATTGTTGCTATTTTGGGAGAACTGTTGTGACGTATGTGATGACACTTTAAAAGGGTGAGAGAAAAGTGTCACGTTCTAAAATATCGCGTGCCGCCCTGAGTGTCATTGCAAAAAGAAAACATTCGAGACAATCGAATAGCATCCGTAGACAACAAGCCTGCGTTCTTGATGGGCATCTCAGTGACTTTTCACGATATCGAAAATTCGCGCCCTGAATTCCACTTCCCTCAATGCGTTGTGAAGATACAAAAATTTGATTCGGGGCCATATTTCCTGGGGAGGATTCTGTTCCATATTTTGATTAATGTGAACAGTTAGACTAATTTTAGCTGCAAAGACTCTGCAACAGAGAACGCCCAAAACAAAATATTGTGTTCTTTTGTTTTCTCTGCAGTATTGTGAGCTTTTTTTGTTTTAGATGCCACAAAGGTCTTGTATGGGAAGAAAATCTAATAGAAACAATTCAGTAGCTACGCATGAAATGAAACAATTAACGTGCCACAAGTACTGGTTTTGCTCCAGAGCAAAGAAGAAATAAGCACCGAAAACATTTCGAACACCGTTGAAGCAAACTTCGTCCTTCTGGAGGACTTACTATAAGACAATTTGGTAATATCAACTGAATTGGAATTGTAAATTGGCCACCGTAAAGAGTTAAAAAGCTGACGTTTCGAGCGTTAGCCCTTCGCCATTCGCTCTGACGAAGGGCTAACGCTCGAAACGTCAGCTTTTTAACTCTTTACGGGGGCCAATTTACAATTTCAACTTAGTTGATATTACCAAATTACCGTGTTACCCCCACCGACGCAGCACCACAGTTTCTTTAGAAACGTACCCCCTTTATTCATCTTACTATAAGACACTACGCAGAAAAACACAGCTACCATAAGTTTTAAGATAAAGGAATTAATCTCCACTTGCACTTTAAAAACAACACGCATGAATCGCCCTAAAAGTTTTGCAGAGATATTGCTCCCATGAAGTACAGTTGTTGGAAGGAAAATAAATAACCATGAATTCGAAACTTTTAGAGTACATTCAGGCGGCTCACAATCCGGACTGACGCCTGGTATTCGAACACATACGCTTATAAAACAATTCAAGTTTAACCTTTAACCGGAAAGGATTTCTTGGCTTAATCCCGCAACTAGCTGTGTTGCGCTGTTACTCAGGAATATCACAATTTTACAATAGCAAGCTCGCCACCCCCGAATAATTAATGCAATCGCTCCCTGGAATGACCGAACAGAAATTTTAAGAACATTTTCAGAGAGAAAGATAATGAGAAAGGATCAACTCAGCAATACAAATAGTCACTGACATGTACTGCAGGCGGTGAGAAGAATTTATTTTCAGATCTTGGGGTTAAGGGATTGACCTCAGTTTCCAGGTAGGCGTTTTGAAACTATGTTTGAGGGGAGACAGCCCTCCAGACGCTTGCCCAAAATTACTACCTCTCCTCCTCCACCCAACTTAATCATGTACAGAAGTGATTAACATGTAACTTCTCCCTGTAATATCCATATGTTACTTTGCAAACTGGTAATGAGAATACTCAAACTTATCAGGTAGAAATTATTTGATCTTTTTTTCATGAGGTAGACCAAGGAGAGGATATTGGATCTACCCTTCTAACGATTCCAACTTAAAAATAGCATTTCCTTGGCATCTAGATTTGATAAAAAATAATTCAGCCACTTCACTGGCCCAGTGAGAGTTCCAAGAAGCTCTGTCTATGTTAAAAAAAAAAAAAATCACAAAGTAATGAAAAAGAACATCTTTATTTAAAACGTATCATACACATGCATGTACAAACTAAAATTAAAATATCTTAGTTTACTAATGGTGCCAAAAGAAATAGCTCTTGAAAAAGTGGGATTCTCTTTGTGGGATAAACAAATTGTTAACTTCATCCAAAAAATTTCAAAATCCCCATTTCTTAATTAACCGAGATACTACACTTGATCTTAGCTTAAAGGCAAAGATGCCTACACATCTTTTTAGATCAAATAGAGAACCATGCAAACAATGCTGTAAACACCTGAAATGTTGCACATCGAGACAGGGGGCTGTGAGAGTTAACAAAAAAAACAAGGTGCTGGAATTCAAAACAAAAAAAACATCAGTGGCAGAGAAAACAGGCATATGTGTCAATTATTGTTGGTGAAATGATTGTAAACTCAGGTATATATTTACTATCAGTTTTCAGGTATAGCTAATTCAGTCAGAATAATAAATAACTACTCAAAGGAATGCTATAAACAGTGACACACTTTTGGATAATAGTAAAATGCAATTTCACTTTTTTAGTGGCAAGGCCTTTAAGACCAAACTAACAGTTACAAACATACTGCAAAGCAACACAAAAAGGAATGTTTTCTGCTTAATACCAAGTGATATCCAAACTAAGAGTTTTACTTAAGTTAAACAACAACCAAAACAAGAAGTATTATGGCACGCCATCCCTGCATCAAAAGCTCTTTTAAAAACAACTAGCTTTTAGTACTTGCATTTTACTCTTCAACTCCCAGAAGTGATTAACATGTGACTTTTCCCCTACAGTTTCCATACACTATCCAGCAAAAAGGCACAAGAACACTTGAGCTTAAAGGTAGAAGTTGTTTGCCTTGATCTAACACCAAAGTCTGGTAACTAATTTACAAGGAAATGTTTAATAGCTAATGAGGAGAATAACATGTAACAATCAGATTTTGGGAATTTAAGGGTTAATTGTATCTTGAGCAATTGTCAAAATGAGAGCTGAAAGCAGGGAAGGAATAAGTAAACCTACTAGTGTAACAAAATGTCTTTTACTTCTACATTCATAGGGTACAAATGATTCACACATTCTCTTAGAGTTTGAAATCAAAATCTACATATTACAAAGGGCAAATATCAATGATGAAAAGTGGTAGCATAAAAACCTACAATGGATCTCTTGCCATCAGAGGAAGTGAAAAGACTTGTTAGTTTATTCATCGTCCTCATCGTCGTCATCTTCATCGTCATCTTCATCGTCATCTCCTGCAAAATACAACAATGCCAACATTGCCATTTCATTCTGTAATTACAAAGCCAAAATCAGGTCAGGTTTCTGATAAATAACTTTTCCCAGAACCCTTTATCTCCAATTAGTGATTAAGACAGAGTTCCCCTTTACAATAACAATACAATATCAAGCAGACAAGTCACGAGAATAAGGAAAAAAGAAAGTCAGGGGATTATCAGTTTAACCAATAACAAATTCTCCAAACTAATCTCATAAGAATTCTATGGCAGACAGTGAGGAGAATTACTAATGAGATCTTGGTAGGGAAAGGGATAAGTAGTTGCTAATGGTGTGACAGGTGACTGAGCCTGCAAAGGAGCCTGGAAAGGGGCCATGAACCAAACACACGAGTCTGCCTGCAGGCTAAATGGACACTGGTAGGCTTATAAAGGGCAGAAGTTGGCTTTTATTGAAACTCCTGGAGTGGGTTAATTTAATTTTTACCACAATTAGCAGTGATGTTGCAGTCCATAAGAGAACAGACCACACCAAACCACTGTGAACTTGATACCCAGAAAAACATCAGTTGCATAAGAGTAGAGCTAGAGCCTTGTTAGTACAATGCTTTGGAACTCATTCCCTTGCTGTCTTAGAAATGATACTATGATAACATGTAGAGGGAAAATAAAACAAAACAAAAACAGAGAAAAAATACAACTGGTGATTCCTCCAAGAGCACAGCTTGAAGATAAGCCAACTGAAACATTTTGCCAGCTGATGGAGTCTGCCAGAAAGTAGTTTTCGACTCCATTATGAAGGTGTTCCACAACTATTTTATCTTGGAGCTTTCAAAAATGTAAGATTGAACCCCATTCAGACCTTCAGATTCTGGACTCTAATGCTCTGGAATCTGCAGGTCTGAGGTTTGATTCCTCATGGGGACTCAGAATTATTTCCTTGTGCCATGCTTGCAACAAGACAAAAAATTCTCCACCTCGTCACCAAGCTCAAAATTAACAATCGTTCTTATTCTAATTAGTTCTGTAATTATCCTCAACATACCATCATCGTCATCTTCAGGCTCCTCTTCCTCTTCCTCCTCTTCATCATCTTCATCGTCATCATCCTCGTCTTCCGACTCTGATGGTTTAGGAACCTCCTTCTTGGGTGGAGGCTTCTTCTTCTCTGGTTTTGCTTTTGGTGCAGCTACTACCTCCTTTCCAGCATTCTATAAATAAAATGATGATAAAGTGCAATTAAGCTACCAACTCAACAACAAGGTGGCAGGCCTGTGACTAGCATGCCACACTCCTATGCCAAGAGGTCCAGGTTCAGAATCTGTCAGGCACATTGTGTTGTGTTTTTGGATTGATGCTTGAGTCTCGCAGAGCATCTCTTAATGTGCTGGTAGAAATGATTTCAATATTTCAGCAGACACTGACCTTCTTCCTCCACTCTTCCATTGCAGTTTCATGTTTCTTTTTAGCTACTGCCTCCTGCTGTTTGTATTTCTCTTTGTCCTTATCAGTCATGGTTCGCCACTTCTCTCCAGCCAAGGCAGGAATTTTCTGATTATCATCAATCTTTTTCCCTTTCATTTGCTCTCGGAATTCAGCAAGGAATATGAAATAAGCTGTAGGAGCGCGCTTGGGTTTATCTGATTCTTTCTTAGCAAATTTCCCACTCTATATGGATAGAGAAAGATTTAAGATTAAGGTTCATACTCTTTCAAACTTAAATTTTATACAGATTGTTTGAAGCCATTTTCCTTGATTTTTTTCTAGGAGCAACAAATCAAAGTGCAAAGTTGTCATTAGAGGTCAGTAAGCCCCCGAAACCTCCTTGCTATCAGACAATTTTGTGCTGGCTACTTAATGAATTGTGATCAGACTGAAAATAGGCATGGCTAAAAAAATTTTCAAAGATGTCCTAGAATGCTTGAAATCACGTTTCAGAGAGTTTCAAATTTCAAATTTTCTGGGGCACTATGTCCCTGGACCCACCTAGGAGGGTGTATTTGCTTTGCTTTTCAAGTACCATTCAATTCAGTCACCTACACAATCTAACCTGAACTCAGGCTGCATCATGCATTTGTTACATTTTCTAATGACAAAAGTGAGGAGGTGAACCTTCTCTTATGTTTAGAGTTTGTCATTGCAAAGAATTCTAAAAGTACATATAGGAAAGATCCACATCAAAGTGGTGTATAATAAAATATCTGGAAACAAGTTTGCTCTAGGTTGACTGAAATGAAATTTATTAGTAGTCTAGTAATCAATTTCACATATTTTTTAATGTATGGTAAAAATGTGTCAAAAATGTGACCAAGAAGAGTTTTTTTGAGGGTCTTTTTTTTTTTTAATAACAAAGATCAAAACCACATTCTGCCAAAACCTTAATACTCTTGAAGAAGACTAACTTTTTGTTAGTCACTTGTCCTGTTAAAAATTTTTACCAATGTTTTTCACACAAAACAAAATTCTTAGGTGTAGCAATTTGGTAGTGTCTCCAACTTTTATTGGAAAGACCATAAAAGGAAACTGCTTGACACTTCATCGAATTTAAGCTCGGTCACCTTTACCACTGGTTTACTGTCCATTTCAACTCTGCATGGCTCCTACAGTTACCCTGTCTTTATGCATAGTGACTAGGTCAAAGAATTTCTCATTTTTGCAAAACTCAAACTTGTTATGGTCTTTCTGTCAAGTTAAACCAACTTGGCTATGAAATTCTGAGAAACTAGCTTTTATCAAGTTATTTCTAAAATTGCATACACATGAGGTGCAAAAAAAGGAAAGAATTTATTTATGATAGAGATCAATGGAAAAAAAATAGTTTTATATGAAATTTGTTTTTCAGAAAAGAAAATGATTGTATTGGTATTTCACTATCTGGTCTCTGCATTTGTAATCAGCTTTTTTGTAAAAAAAAAGAAATGTCTACTTCAAAATAATAGTTCTATTCATCACGAAAGTCAAAGCCCATTCTGGCATTAAAGAATTCAAAATTTTGAAATCATTAGGAAATTCCCTTGAAAGAGTTCACACCTTCCTTAGAAACTAAAAAATCACGTGACGTCAACACTTGCTCCAACAGGGAAAGGTTGGAAGTGTGGCGGCCATGTTGACTCACGAAGAATGAGTAATTTTATCTTACACTTGAGCTTTGTTTTGCCGGTTATGCTTACTAACCTCCTTAAGGTAGCGCTCTTTGTCTTCCTGGGCCAAAATATTGTACGGTTTTTTCTCCTCGTCCGTGAGATTCTTCCACGCTTCGCCCGCCATCTTCGCGACTTCGTTCGCCTTTGGAAGAGAATCGCCCTTCTTCTCGCATTTCTCTTTGAGCTTCTTTCGAAAATCTGTGGTAAAGTGAATGTAGGCAGAGGAGGCTCTCTTCACTTGGGGCCCGTCCCCTTTAGCCTTCTTTCTTTTCCCATCTTTTACAGCCTTGGCTTTCTTCGGCTTGGACTTGGACAACGCTACCTCTGCGGACCGTTTCTTTGACTTCGCTCCTTCGAGTAAAGAAGAACAACATCATGTCTTCGCGTCTTCCAGGTCGTAACGACTTGAAAGTATCATTTGTCTCCAAATTTTAGCCCTTTCCATCGATAAAATGGCAGCAAAGATCGAAAATTTGGCTAAGCGTAAGCGATGGTAAGTCCCCGAGGCATAATTTATAGTAGTCTGTGCAATCTCTGAGCGCGAATTTGAATAAAAGAACACCGTGGAAATCGCTTTGAAATTAAACGCAGCAGACATTTTTCGCCGTTTAATCCGAGAAGAAGAGCTTAGAAGACAAATCTAGGGCCTATCGGATCGTATTTTGTCGTTTAAACCGAATAAATTTCTGAACTGACTACGGTCGTGCACACTTCCACATGTCCTATATGCTTCATAAGGCCTCGTATGAGGCTTGTAAGAAATATAAGACAACAAGGGAGAACAATTCATGGAGTCCCTCATAATAAGAGTTTGACTGAGATTTGGAAATAAAAGAGGCGCAATGCAACGAAATCCCGAAATTACCTTCCATTTCACCGGATTTGCGCTTTTCAGGTGTAGAACGACTTGTCTTTTTGCTTTTGTCGACTTTGCAAGGCTGATACTTTCGATCCGCCAAGGTCTTTTTCACTACCTCACAGCTTCTCTTACTTTAAGAGCACAAGGGAAGAGACAAGAAGGCAAACACGAGGTCGCTGAGCTGACGCGACACTACTGCGCCTGCGCATCACGCCGACTTCTCTGTTTCCTAATCTTTTCTATTGGTTATTTGTCTGTTATTGCAGTGTCTCGACAATAATTCTTCGAACAAAACCTTGTCTATTAAAAATTGTTTTTGTCATAATCCCGCTCTTATCCAATCTTGGATTTATTTAAACAGTCCTTCCCTCCAGTTCACCACGCCTTCTGAGCGAGGGTGGGGCGTGGGTAAGGCCTCGTAGAAATTCTTTATCTGAAGTTCAAAGGAGAGAATCCGGAATCCTTTCTAAAATTCTTATTTAAGCCACAATTCACGGTACTTTTGGATCCAAGAATCCGATTCTTTTTTTACACTCCGCACCTTTAGCTTTAGGACGAATTTCTTTATATTTTTTTTCCGCGTTGAATTCAAGGGGAACTGGTTCTAAAGCAGGAACTCGATTATTCAGTCGCCTTTCACTTTTTGTTCGATTTTGATTTTTTCTGCTTTATAACCAAAGTATGATATATGGATTTATTTTATTAGCTAAATTTAATCAGTTGGTAAGTTTTTTGAACGAAATAGTTCAAGCTACCGGTAACAAAATTTTTTGGTGGGACAAAATTAGATAAATGTACGCTTTTTCAGTAAAGGAAATTACTCAGTGGACATTCATTTTCCTTGGGACGCGGCAGAGACTGTCGGTTTACCGGTATTTTTTAACAAGGCACCATAAGTATTTTGAGGTCACATTTCAAGGCGATTTTTCATACCAATTATATTAGATTGGAATAAGGAATGCTCTCTCAGTTAATGGAAGTCACGCGACCTATCAAGGTCTCTATTAACACTTAGGATGGGGTCGGTCACATCAATTAGTCATCAATTTCGTCTATATTTATAGACATAAAAAAAACTTTTCTTTATTCAGACTGGCTTGCAAGAGAAATGCGGTTTTCCCTTAACATAATGCAATAAGTGAGGAAAATGGTCAATCCACTTCAACACAAGGTAGCAAACCTTTCATCAAGGCTTTTGACCCATTCCTGGGTCGGAAAAAGTTAGAGACAATTTTGTCTTAATTGAACGCGTGTTTCTACCGAACACAAAATTGATTATTCAGTTGCACGTGATTCACACGCTTTGCTTTTGTTTTATCTATAAAAAGCATCTCAACTTATTCTTAAAGTGCACCTACACCCAAAAAATTTTTTTCGCTTAACGAAGTAAGCTTATTTTTTTGAGTATTTCTGCGCAAAAATTTTTTTATTTGCTCAAATCTTCAATTTTCTATGCCCAGTCAAAATATGGAAAATCGGCCGCCATCTTGCCCCACGACCGAGTTTAAAGAAGAATGGCTCTAGCGGGTAATGTGACGTCAAATCGAGAACACGAAAGTCTGCATCTCACACATTTTCACTTGTTTGGGAAGATTGTCGTCGATATCGTCCGAAATATGCCGACTAGGTGTGTTGTATGAAGATTGTATGGAGCGCGATACCCTCTTGCAAATTTCGCACGTTGCTACATCCTTCTACAACACACTTAGTCGGCATATTTTCGGACAATTATCGACTACAACCTTCCCAAACAAGTGAAAATGTGTGAAAAGCAGACTTTCGTGTTCTCGATTTGACGTCACATTACCCACTAGAGCCATTCCTCTTTAAACTCGGTCGTGGGGCAAGATGGCGGCCAATTTTCCGTATTTTGACTGGGCATAGAAAATTGAAGATTTGAGCAAATAAAAAAATTTTTGCGCAGAAATACTCAAAAAAATAAGCTTACTTCGTTAAGCGAAAAAAATTTTTTGGGTGTAGGTGCACTTTAAGTTTACTACGACTGAGTAATCACATGATTTTCCTCGTGCCTCTTGTCAGAAACAGGCACTCCTAACTTTTTCCCCAAAGTCTATGAATAGAAATAAATAGAAATCGCCCTTCCGGCCAGTGCAATTTTGTTGGTCCTTGATAGATTCCAAATTGAACTCGAAATCGTTTGAATACCTTCACTAGGAGAGGAAAAATTTTGTACAATGAATGAATGCAAAGAGGATAAGGTGAGCGAATGGCTGATCAAGGGCTAATCGCTCTTAAATAAATTCACCGGGGTCAGTGTGCCTTGCTATTTTGCCAAAAAAATTGAAATTAAAATTTCTGAACGCTTTGCCAAAAAAGGAAGACCCAAGAGACGAAAGAAGAGAAGGTGTCTTCTACATTTGCGTCAATGGCCGTTAAGGGAGGGTCTCAATGAGGTTAATCGTCAAATGGCTTAAATATTAACCGTCAACCGTCACAAAAGCAGTAATTTTACCGTTGAATAAGCAAGCCGATGTTAGCAGTCAAATGTCTCAAATATTCTCAATTACGAACTAGATGATTGCCTCAATTGGGGTCAAGTTCTGTTGTTTTTTAAATAAAAGTCTTGATTTATCACAAAAATACATATACGTAAGTCTTTGAACTTCTAGTCGCGAGTAAAGCGGGTTAGCGACAGAACTGACTTCCGGTGTGGAAACACTTCCGGCAACGTAAAACGTTCGTCATTTATTAAAAAAAGGTGTTATAGGGTATTGTAAGAGGTACAGCCTAATTCGCGCGTTTGGTTCGTTTTATAAACGACATTCCAAAAAATTAATCGTTAACCGTCAAATGATCCGAAGTTTAACCGCCAGCCGTCTAAAGGGGGTATTTTTAACCGTCAACCGTCAACGTGATCCCCCCCCATTGAGACCCTCTTAAGGGAGTTGAGGTGAATCTCTACGATTGAGACAAACGACAGAAAATAAACTCGATGTTCAATCGTTACAACAGGGGCCTTGCCTCGAAGCATGAGTGCTTCTGAACAATTGAAGACGCGTGAATCTGAAGAACTTACATGGTCTCAGTCTTTCCCATTTGCTCGCCCTTTTTGCTGCACAGCATTAAGACCATGAAAACAAGTCCGCTGATACATAAGAAGAGCAGCGATCTAAGCCAATATTCACGCGTCACCCTTTGAAAAATCTTAGCTTCGCGTACGCTCCGGTTGTTGTGTCACCAAGTTTAAACTCGCTCCACGGCAAATCGGAGCAAATTGACAAAATAATTGAAATAAAATAGCATGATGCGCGACTGAGAGCGACATTTACTTCCTCGGTACGAAATATTTACATTTAGGACGCCCTTGAAAGTTTGTCTCGTCATTCCAATGGTATCATTAGAAGGCTTAGTTTCTGCTGCCCTACCGAGTCAAGTCAGTGTGGGCTCGTTTCCCGAACAGCGACTGGTGATGGGGTCTATGTTTATTGTCTGCATTATTTTCCACTTGACGACTTTCTCTAATGACGGCGTTCATTCCTATGTTATCTTTGCCACTATCTTCAGTGTAAATCATGTTTTTGACTCTACGACGAGATTGCAAGCAGGCTTGTGCTTGCTCCAGTGCTTGACCTGGCATTCCCTAAAAGAAAAGACCGCCGTTAGGTAAAAATTTAAACCATCATCATGCTCAATCAAAACAAAGGTAAACATCACAAGGAGCCAATCAGAACTCAAAGCTCATACATGTGACCGAGCCCAAGCGCGGGAAAATGTGCGCGAACAACTCGCGATTGGTCTAAGTTTTTAACTCTGATTGGTTGAGAAAGGCGCGGGTTTTCTTGACAGACCAGAGCATGGCAAAGAAAAGCCATTCATCGATAATAGTCGAAAGTAATCCAGCAAGTACTCCGTAGTCAGCGCAACGGAAAGGGACCCTCAACTTCCGGCTAACGTCCGTTTGTCTAACACGTTTCGCTAATAATAATGTCTCTATCATTTTACCTCTTGCAGTACCATTCGGTCTGACATCTTGAGCACCGTTTTGTTGCTGGCTGGCCACACAAGGCACATTTTGGGGGTTCACTGACAAGTTCCTCCAGCATATCCAAATTGTACGTATCTGCCCACCTAAAAACAGACAGATCTTCATCAAGATTGCTTCTAAGTTTGAGAAGAGGGGGCAATTCGGAGTATTGATTTTCGCAAAGGGAGGAAAAGAGAAGACCCGTACCACGAGAAAACCCCTAGAGTAAAAAGAGAACTAACAACGAATTCAAATCAAAAACCGAACAAGTGCACCCCTTTGAAAAGCGCGCTCCTCCTACAGCCAAAATTTAGAAAAAGCGCTCTGCACTTTTTCTTTAAGCGACTAATTTTGTTTGCCGAACTAGTCGAAAGTACAGTTACTCTACAGGTACAACAAATGTTTTTAGACAATATTTTTCAATACTGTAAGCGTAACATTGAGAGTTATGAAATATGAAATATTCGTTGTCAAGTGTACTCACATTTTAGCTTGCTTTTTAATATCCTCGGCCGATGGCGAAAAGAAAGCCTTCTTCTGGTATTTTGCAAACTTCTCCCATTTGCCTTGATTATCCTTTAAAAGTTTTTCTCTGATTTCTGGAACCTGTACTTAGTTTTGTTTTACAAATAAGGAAAAACAAACAAACAAACAAACAAACAAACAAGGCGATCAGAGAAAGTGAAAAAAACCTGGATTTGAAAAGTAAGCATCAGACAGATTACATATATCTTATTAACCAAGCGCGAGGGCCGTACTGGGAGAATATCGGCCCGAGGTCTTGACAGTACGGACCGAGCGCAGCGAGGTCCGTACAAAAAAGACCGAGGGCCGATATTCTTCCAGTACGGTCCCGAGCAAGCTTGGTTAATAAGAGATTTATTATACGACTGAAGTTCAAAGGGACACAAGTGCGGTATCATTCGGGACCATTCGGGACAGTGCCCGGTCCAATACTGAGAGAATATTGACCGGCAATAGAGCATTTTGATTGGTTGATTTTAGTTATTGGCCCTCTGACTGCCCGAGTCGTGTAATAAAAAAACTTACAGTACATTCAATCTAAATATGTCTGACAATACTATTACGTCAAATCTCGTAAAATACTGTGTTAATTTGATCTCCCAAC